ACACCCCCCTGGCCCGCACCCCGCCGGCCGCGCCGCGGGCTGGGCCGGGCCGCACCGGGCGGCGCGCGGCGGCTGGGCGCGGCGGGCAGAGGCGCGCCCCCCTCCCTGGCTCCGGGGAAGGGACGGGGCGCCGAGCTGAGGACCGGGGGTCTCCTCGCCGGTGCCCAGGACGGACTCGAAACCGCGCCCTCCTTCCTCCCCGCCGGTCGCCACGCCCCCCTGGCCCGCACGGACCCGAGGCTCGGCGGGCGCGCAAGGGTTCACCCCCTGAGCGAGGACCTCCGGGTGGCCGCCGCCGCCGGTGTCTCCGTCGCCGCTGCAGCCGCCCCTGCGGCCGCCGGGGCCAGGCTCGAAAACATCTCCGGTGCTGGTCGGTCTCTCCCCACAGCCTCCTTGCTCCGGGACGGCGTTCTCCGCGATTGGCTGCGGCGCGAGCACGTGACCCCGGCGACCACGTGACCCCTGCAGGCACGGGACGGGCGGCGTGACCGCCGTGCCCCGCCCCCGACGCGCCCGTCCCCGGGCTCTCGGGAGGAGCGGGGCGCGCGGCGGCGGCGGGGAGCGGAGCGAGCGGCGGGGCCGGAAGTCCTGCGCCTCCCGGCCGGCCGCGCCCGGGGAGCCAAAGGGGCCGCGTGGGGGTTGGGGCGCTCCCTGCGCGCGGCCGCCGGCCCCCGAGTCTTTGCAGGGTTTGCGTTGGGACGAAGCGGGCGGGTGTTGCGAGCGGCGGTCGCGCCGGCGGGAGGCGGGTCCGGGCTGCGCGGCCGAGCCGGCGAGCGCGCGCGGACGGGGCGGCTTCCCGGGCACACGCAGCCAAAGCACTGCCGCGGGCGCGGGTTGCCAAGGACGCAGCTGTGTGTCCGGTGCCAGCCACGCGACCCTGTGTCCTCTCTGGACAGAAATGTCACCGAGCGCGCCCACGTGAGTCTGAGCGTGTGTGAGGAGCGTTTACCACCTCAGTCATGGCCTGGACTCAGGCTTCCTTCCGAAGGCTGCTATCCGCAGCGGTTAGCCTGCAACCGTCGTCCTGAGCCACCCAAGAACTTCATACTCCACAGGAAACCATCCTCTCCGTCGTCGTCAACTGTGGCCTCCTTCAGTGTCCGTTAGCACCTTAATAAATGTAAGACTGTCCTATCGGGAATAAGCTGAAAATTCTGACGTGGCTTTTAAACTTACAGGGATATAAACTTGCATTTGAAAAAAAATTTTTTTCCCTATTCTCACATTAAAAAAAAAACACAAAACCGTAGGAAAGCACTTTGCTGCTACCATAACATCAACTTGGGATTGTGTGACAAGAAACAAAGTTGCTTTTAGGTCAAGAGGCTCTGGGGTGTGGGGAAAAACCTGTTCCTCCTGTTCCCAGCACCCACAGGACCACGCAAAACCGTATGTAACTTCAGTTCCTGGGTATTGAATGCCCTCTTCTGGCACACAGGCAAAACACTCTTACACGTAAGACAAAATTAATCTTCTAGCTTTCTTTTTTTTCTTTTTTAATACAGTCTCATTAAGTAGCTCCGTTTGGTGTTGAGTCACATCGTAGAACAGGCTCGATACAGAGACCAGGCTGACTTCAAACTCAAGAGATCACCTGCCTCTGCCTCCTGAGTGCCTGCGACTTCAATGAGGAACCTGTAAGGCCACTGACTTTGATAAATCCTGAAGCGATCTGATTATCCCATGACTTAAAGCTATTTCTATTCTGAGTTTTCAGAAGTCCTGTACTATTACATCCTTTCTTGAGTTGAATGTAATAGTTTTATTCCTATAAACATGTCCATCCTTAAAAAAAAATAGCCAACTCCAGTTATTTCTTGTGTGCTTGCAATGTTAAGATAACCAAAGAGGGAGCTGGAGAGATCGCTCCGTGGTTATGAGTGCTGTCTGCTCTTCCTAAAGACCCGGGTTCAAGTCCCAGCACTCACATGTCAACTCACAACTGTCTGTAACCCCAATTCCAAGGGATCAGTCACCTTCACACTAATGCACATAAAATAAATTTAACAAATTATCTTTAAAAAAAATAATACAACTAAAGATAGTTACAAAAACAAAAAAAGACACCTAAAAACAACAAAAAAACCCCCAAATGGTGGTTTTGTTCCGACACAATATTCAACAGCTGCAAGATGTACAGGTGGGAAAAGCAAATAGTATAAAGCTTATGAATTCATATTTTATTCTCCAGTGACATTTTTACAGTTGAATATAAGTTAAAGGCCTGCTTGTACACCAAAGCCAGGTCCTTTGGGTGGTTCAGTCAAAGTAGTAAGGCCTCCAGCTGGCTCACAACAGAAGCGGCCACTCCTGAAAAGAAAAGTAATGATTATTAGTGATTAACATCTGTACATTTTTGCTTTAAAAAAAAAAAAAAATGACCAGGTGTGGTAGTACACACCTTTAATCCTAGTACTCCAGAGGCAGAAAGCAGGCAGAGCTCTGTGAGTTGATAACTTGGTCTGTATAGTGAGTTCCGGGCTAGCCAGGGCTATAGTAAGAGTCTGTCTCAAAATAATAAAAGGCACTTTTCGGCTTTAATGTAACTTTATGGGACTACAGTGATAATCCCACTGTGTTTGTGGACTGTTGCTGATTACATGTCATTATGTGACATGACTGTACCAAAATTAGTTTGAAGAAGCATCACAGTGAATTCACAAGCCAACTAGAAATCACAGATAAGGAAAACTAATAAAAGACCTGTGATACTGAATAGGACAAAAACACTGGAAGAATAGAAGATGGCTATTTCAAAAAAGTATTATTTGGAAGAGGTATTTAAATACGTTTGTGTTAGGGAAAAAAACAAAATAATAATAAAAGATTATCTTGTATTGGGGTCGATGATATGACTCAGCAGGAAACAGTAATTATTGCAAAAGGCTGGCAATCAAGTTCAAAACCTGGTTCTCTTGTACAGGTGTAAGAAGAGAACCAACTCCACAAAGTTGTCCTTTGATGTCCACATACCATTGTACATGAACACAAATTTTTTTTAAACATTTTATGTTATACTGTATTGATTAAAAGGAAAAACTGGATCTGTAGGTGGAAATAAAAGGGAGGCTAATTTCAGATCAATCATCTAGCAACATGAACTTTTTTGTCTTTTTTTTTTTTTTTCTGGTTTTTCAAGACAGAGTTTCTCTGTGTAGCCTTGGCTGTCCTGGAACTCACTCTGCAGACCAGGCTGGCCTCAAATTCACAGACACCCCACCTACTACCTCCCAGAGTGCAGGGATTACAGACATGCGCCACTGTGCACGGCACAACATGAACTTTTAAGCACAGATTTCAACTTGTACTACATTCTCTTTCAGTATAAATGTTCTGATAGATCGTAGATATTTACCGTGAGATTTTTTTTTCTTATATAAGTGATGAAGTGTATGTAAGCAAGTGTGCACATGTGTCTGTCTGTGGTGTCTGCCACTGTGGCTCTGCCTCCCGCTGAGCTGTGAGCTGGCTGTGTCAGCTGGTGTGGGAGCCACCTTGCTCAGAGCACTCCCTGCCTGCTCTTCCTAACCCTGGGACTCCAGCCAAGGTACCAGTCTACTCAGCTTTTACTTGTCTCTGGGACTCTCAACTCCCTTAGCCTCACATGGAAAGAGCTTTACCAACACTGAACCATTTCCTCAGCCTTATCTTAAAGAAAAAGTAAATATCTTGCTCTAGATGGCAACTTTAGATATGCAAACTTCCAGTCAGCTCCTATGAACCTGAGTGTAAAATCCTTAAAGTCAAGCTTCTGCGAAAGATTAAGTCGCCATTTAGTGATGCCATTTAGTTTATATATAGAAATAAAAGTATACCTTGGCCCAGGTTTTGGAATCTTCCCAGCTCTGAGTTCATCAATAATCTCTTCAATATCCTTGGGTGTCAGATCCTCCTAGAGAAAGATTAAGCCATCACCGAACTGCTGTAAAAATCTGTAAGTCCTTAAAGTTACTTCAGTTATTACCAAGGTTTCTACAAATCAGTAACTCCAATATATAATGTAATATACATCAAGGGCTTTAGCTGAAAATGAAAACTAAGTGTATTTCAAGCTAAGCCTCTGCATTTCAATTCTGGCCTCACCACCTAACCTAGTAACCTCAGAGGACTTACTCTCATCACCTGCCTCCCAACTTCCTTTCCTGGGAACTCAGTTTGAACTTGGTTTTGAGGATTACTCTGTGGTTTGAATAAGAATGGTCCTCACAGGCTCATCTATTTGAAGGCTTAGTAACCAGGGAGTAGCACTACTTGAAAGGATTAGGAGGTGCTGCCTTGCAGAAGGAAGTGTGTCACGAACAGTGGGCTTTAAGGTTTCATGCCAAGCCCAGTGTTTCTCTCATTACTTTCAACTACTTCTCCAGCACCTGCATGCTGCCAGGCTTCCCGTCCTGATGATAATGGACTAATCCTCTAAAAACATAGCAAGGCCCCAGTTTCTTTATGGTTTTTGGAGACAGGGTTTCTCTGTGTAGCCCTGGCTGGCCTCAAAACAATAAAACAGTAAGACAATAAGAAAACATAAAACAGAGAAGTACCAAAGAGCAAGAGATCAATGCTAATCCTGGAAGGAACATGCAAAGAGTAACCATCCCCAATGGCTGTAACTGACAAGCAGAGACCTAATGTCAGCCCTGAACCAAGAGCTCTAACTACTTACTAACTGAAAAAAATAAATAAATAAAATCTCAGAGCTGGGTATGGTTGCGCACACGTTTGATCCTGCCACTCCGGGAGGCAGAGGCAGGAGGATATCTGTGAGTTTGAGGCCAGCCTGGTCTACAAAGCGAGTTCAGGACAGCCAAGGCCACATAAAGAAACCCTCAAAAAAACCAAACAAAACCAAAACCCAAAATCTCTCAGACACTCATGCCTGTAGGCTACTACATTAAGATTTTTGCTTCATACAAAGTCCTGACTAATTCTTACCTGAAGAATACATAACATAATTCAAAGAAAATTCAGCAAGAAAAAAAAGCAAACTTATCTCCAACTTTCCAATACCCACAAACTCAAATAAGAAGGCCCCATGCTTGCACAAAAAAAGTCTTTAAGAGACCAACCAAACCACAGAGTTAAGACCAAAAAAAAAAGCTACACATTTGATATAAGAATAAACCAAAAAGTAAACTGTCCTGCAAGGAAAATTTTTAGTCTGGAACCTGTGTCACTACAGAATGGGTGAAATAAAAGCTATAAAGAGATCAGTTTTTGGGGTATGACATTACTACCTTTAGGAGCAGGAAATATGTCCATGCTTGAAAATGACATTTTCAACAAAGACCTCAAATAATCTCCATAAACTATAATTTTTAAGAAATATACACTAGGGGCTGGAGAGATGGCTCAGAGGTTAAGAGCCATCTGGCTGCTCTTCCAGAGGTCCCAAGTTCAATTCCCAGCAACCACATGGTGGCTCACAACCATCTATCGTGGAATCTGATTCCCTCTTGTGTTCATGAAAACAGAGCACTCATACATAAAGTAAATTAATAAATATTAAAAAAAGAAATATAAACTAACAAAATACCATAACTGAAAATGATGTAATAGGGGCAGCAAATAATTTAAAAATGCTATGAGGCTACCCTGGTCTACAAAATGAGTCCAGTACAGCCAGGACTACAGAGATACCCTGTCTCAAAAAAAGGAAGAACCAGCATTCTGTGAGATAAAATTAAGTATTTTAAATAGGATACTACAGAACTTTAAGTAAAGTTAAACATTCGCAGAGTACTTACCACTTATTTGAACCATTGGTGCATTTACACAGGCCCCTGAACATTCCACTTCAACAAGAGTGAAAAGGTTGTCAGGTGTAGTCTCTCCAACCTTTATTCCTAAAATATAAATGATCACCATAACAAATATAGACAAATAGTTTAAAAGCAGTATTGGTTAAGAAAAACAACAAGATGGGCAGTGGTCGTGCATACCGTTAGTCCCAGCAATCGGGGCGGCAGATGCAGGAGGATCTCTGTGAGTTTGAGGCCAGCCTGGTCTACAAAGAGTGCAGGACAGCCAGGGCTACACAGAGAAACCCTGTCTCCAAAAACCAAACCAAAAGAAAAATGACAATATCAACAATATATTATAGAGGTATATAAAAGCATTGCCGTGCATTAAAAATTCTATAAAAATGGAAAGAGCCAATCATAAAGGTGTATGTGTGTAATCTCAGTACTTAAAAAGCAGAGACAGGTCTCAAATTCAAGGCAAGCCTGGACTATGTATTGAGATCTGGTCTCAGAAAATAATAATAATAATAACAACATAACATTCATTTTCTTCCATGTTTTGATTTGTTATTAGTTTGTTTTAGGTTTGGTTTTTTTTTGTTTTTTTTTTTTTTTGCTTTTGAGATAGGGACTTACACTGAAGCTTGGGGCTGGCCTCTAACTTGTGACAGCCTGCCTGGCTTAGACTTCAGGGTACCGGGATCATAGGCAAAACCCACCACACCTATCTCCAAGCTATTTCTCTCTCTGTGTGTGTGTCTCTCTTGCATGGCTCCTGCATGCACACATAATCAAACATAAAAATGAAGTCATTTTAAAAAACTATACTGCTAATAGTACAGTTACACCATTAGATTGGGAAAGATTCGGAAAGCTGAAGATCAAAGATTATTTAAGGAGGATTAAGATTATTAATCTGTCTATAATAGCAAACTGATAACTGTGCTCCGAAATAGAACAAATTTAGACCACATAATGGAAATGCATATATATTTACATTTATGTGCTAAATAATAAATTATATAAGAGCTGTAACTAACGTACCAAGCAGGTGCCAGAGTCTATACCTTAAGGTGTGTTTTGGGCCCAGACTGAGCTTTCTGCCTTATTTACTTCAGTATGCCCCAATGTATCTGTGACATGCAAGGACTTACATTAAAAAAAAAAAAAAAAAAGCCACCATCAGTGACACAGACCAGCTTCTTGAGAAGCCTGAGGTCAGAGGACTGCGAGCAAGAGCAGCTTGATCACCTCAGTATACTTGCCTCTAGTATGAAGCCTGTGTTTCCTCAGTACAGGAAGGAAAATTAAAAGATACTTTAACTTCACATATGTAAAAATGCAGGTAAGCATGGTGGCAGATCCTTTTAATCCCAGCACTCAGGCACAGGCAGGTGGATTTCTGCATTCAAGGCCAGCTTGATCTGCAGAGCAAGTTCTAGGACTGGCAGGGCTACACAGAAACCTCTTCTCAAAAAAACAACAAAAGCAAAAATGGCAGTTTTGTATGGAACATACCCATATATTTTGTAAATAGGCTATACTTACATTTATTTAAAATTTCCTTTATGATGAAATGTTCCTACTATGCTGTTACTTATTCCACGGCTTCTCTAGAAAGGCACATGGACAGTTTTAAAATGGTGTGTGCACATAAATAGAGCAGCCCCAAGAAATATCTGATGCTCCTGAAGCTGGAGTTACAAGTGCTTGTGAGCTTCCTGATCTTAGGATGCTAGGTAGGAACTAAACTAGGGTCCATGCTCTTAACCTGAGCTGTCTATCTCTAGCCCATGCATAGTCATCTTTATGTGACATATGCTAACATTGGGGAGACAATTTTCCTAGAAGCTTTACAAACACACTTAATGATTAACATTGATTAAAGGCTCAGACTTGAGGCTGAGAATCAGATGAACACAAACTAGAAATAATACTTTTTTAAGTACTGAGAAAGTACAAACCAAGTAATATAAATTTAAGTTGAAATTTTTAGGTGGAAAATGTCAGATCTAGAAAGACAATTTTATTTGGAAGGTAGAAAGTGTAAAGAGATGAAGCTACTGAGATAGGTTCGTGATGTCCAGTCCAGGCTGGCCTAGACCTCACTATATAGCCTGGGCTAAACCAGAACTCAACAATCCTCCTGCCTCTGCACCCTGAGATTATAGGTGTGTACCACCATAACCTGTTAGACAATGATGGTGTTGGTTTTCCTTTGTTTGGGAAATGGAAGTGGGGAGAGGTGTTTCAAGACAGAGTTTCTCTGTGTAGCCCTAGCTTTGCAGGAACTTGCTTCACAGATCCACCTGTCTCTGGCTCCCGGGTATGGGGGGATTAAAGTTGTGTCCCGCTGCACCCCAGGCTAATCCTGATATTGTTAACAGAAAGGAAGTGTCCCATACCAAGCTTTCTCTGCAGGGTCTCCAATATGCTGTCAGAGTCTGGAAGCATGCAAGGTGTGGTAGTGCAGACCTGAATATGGTACTTTCCAACTGGCTTTCGATTATACATTGTATAAAAAGTTGCTACTTCATATACTCTCATTGGAGGGACTTGTAAAACTTCTGCCACCTAAAAGATTAAAACATTACAGTGTTGATTACAATGTTTATAATGTACCCAACTCTAAATAGCACAGTAACTCCTAAATGCTCTCACACTGTTACTTGTTTTATTTTTCTCTGTAGGCTTACTACTCAAGAAGACTTACAAGAGAGTTCTCATTATTAAAAACAACATTTTTCTTAAAAAAAAAAATGATGGGCTGGAAAGGTGGCTTGGCAAACAGAAGACCTTGTTTCTCACAGAAGCCTGGTGACCAGAGTTTGGTCCCTGGGACTCACATAAAGACTGAACTCAAAGAACCAACTCCACAGAATTGTCCTCTGAGCTCCGTCTGCACATGCTATGGCATGCACGTGTCCATACGCAAGTCACACACCAAGTTCAGTTTTTATGAAGAATTTAGAAACTACCAGATAATTTCAAAGAAAGTATTTTTCACAGGCACTAGGTATCATACCCTTCCTTCCTTCTTTTTTTCTTTCTTTGTGCTTGAGATTGAACCCATGGCTGTGGGTTTAGAAGGCATTGCGCTCTCACTTAGTTACATACCCGGTCATATCAAGGTTTCTGGAAAAACTAGCCCTTGTGTTTACTAAGATTTTAATTAAATAAGACTTTGAAGCATATTTCAGTATTAGGGAAGTATATGCACATAAAAATCAACATAACCTAAAATTTGTGTTTGTAATTATCAAAGTCTGCTCCTATTCTCCCAGTAAAGGTGATAGTCTTGTCTTGTTTCGTTTGTGATAGTCCACCTTAACAGTTATAACCAGATCATTTAGAAAAGGATGAGAGGAAGTGAACCACAGTGGAGTATCTATGACAGCTGGTCAAGTAGAAAGCACAAGGAGTTGCTTTTTATACAGCATTCTATAAATGATATGCTGTACTGTCACATGAATGCAATTACTGTATTAACAGGATATAAGGAAATTTGATTTGTTTTTGTTTTCTTCTTTCTTTCAAGACAGGGTCTCTCTGTGTAGCGTTGGCTGTCTTAGACTCTTTTTGTAGACTAGGCTGACTCTACTCACAGAAATCCGCCTGCCTCTGCCTCCCCACGTTCTGGGATTACAAGTCTGTGCCACTGCACCCAACTGATACAAGTAAATTTGAAATCTAGATTAGTGCTTAAACTCTTTGAAAGCAATCCTCAAACCTCTGATTAGTGCTTGGAGCTGAGGCAGGAAGGTTGGCAAAAGAGCAAGAGTAGACTGGGGTAAGTGTGTCAGGCACACCGTTTTGAAAGAAGAGAGGATTAATCCTAACAGTTTATAAGTAGGCTGAAGTGGGTTGCATGGCAGTTCTGAAGGCAACCAAATGTCATATATACCACATACTAGATACAGACTTTTGTCAAAGAGAAGAACCAAAGATAAAAATACTAAGAGATTACATTTGGTAAGGGACTTCCCCCCTATAATTTTAGTGTTGAAACACTACTGCATTAATTTTCAAAACACCTTGATACCTTGATACTAAATTATACATTTGAGATCTTTTTATTATAACCATTTCCCTCAAAAAGGGTGTGAGGAAAGAACAAGACCTCTTCCACACTGATGCCTGCCTATCTCCTGGAAGAATGGAAGATGTATTAGGGAACTGACAAAAACACAAGAAGGATGATTATCTGTCTATCTCTACCGTGTGTGTATGTATGACTGATGATTCCTACATGAAGCTACCACATACAATCTCTTCTCTTTCCCAAGGCAAACTGAGTTCAGTACCTTGTTCATAGCGGAGATGGGCAACCATCCATTCTGCCTTTGAGCTAGATCCAGGACTGGAAGCACAGCTGCTGCTTTATGCCCTTCGGGGTAGATTTTCACTATTGCATCTATCCTCTGAGAAAGGAAAAGGGCCTGTTTACACATAGAAAGCACTGGGTACTTGATAAATCAACTATATGTTTATTAAACATACCTTATAGTTTTCTGGTGTGAACTCAAATGGAGTATCTGGGTTATTCTCAGGAGTATCTCTATGCTATAACAAAACAAAATTTTTTCCCAAAATTGTCAACATTTTCCCTGAAATGTAAATAGTACTGTACATTACATTATACTGCTGCTGCTCATTTAATCTCTAATCCTATTGGACTATCTTTGTAGCAAGAATGACTAAAAATATGTATTTGTTACCTGTTCACCAAAGTAAAGTTAGCAGAACTAAAAATTTTAAAACCTACTCCTAAAGATTAAGAAGTAGGGGTTAGGGGGCTGGAGAGATGGCTCAGTGGTTAAGAGCATTGTCTGCTCTTCCAACGGACCTAGGTTCAATTCCCAGTACCCACACGGCAGCTCACAACTGTCTGTAATGCCAATTTCAAGGGATCTGTCACCATCACACTAATGTACATATAAAATTACATAAATTATTTAATAAAAAAAAAAAGTAGGGATTGGAAAGACGGCTCAGTGGCACTGTCTGCTCTTCCAAAGGTCCTGAGTTTAATTCCTGAAAACCACATGGTGGCTCACAACCATCTATAATGTGCTCTGTTCTGGCATGCACGTGTACATGCAGATAGAGCACCCATATACATAAATAAATAAATCTTAAAAAAAAAAGGTTAAGAAGTAGTGCTGGGCATGGTGGCGCATACCTGTGATCTCAGCACTCAAGAGGCAAGTGGATCTTTGAGTTCAAGGCTAGCCTGATCTACAAAGCAAGATTAGGACATCTAAGGCTACACAGAGAAACCCTGTCTTGAAAAATCACAAAAAAAAACAAAAACAAAAACAAAAAACAACAAAATAACCCAAAAAACCTTTGGGGGATGTGAAGTGAATAAATTAATAATAATAATAATAATAATAATAATAATAATAATAATAATAATA